TTAACGTTTAAAATGCCAAGATGTGTTGTATAAAGCTTTATTTATAATAAAAGTGCGAAATGTGACGGAGATAAAAGAAACTTATATTTATTTCGGTGAGATATTTAATTTTTAAAGATTCTGTCGTCGTCCATATTTGTTGATTTGAAAATAAACAGAATCGGACTAGGTCATTGGTACATGTTATAAGTAGCAAATAAAGGTTATTTTTATAAACTGTTTACTATTTCTTGTTTCATGGTGAATCTGTTTTCAGGAAGTGGAAAGAGAAACATACAATCAAATACAAAAATATCAATTTTATTGCCAATTTATTCGTTTCAAACTTCACAACTGGTTTCAATAGTTTTTTCAAAACTATTTATTTAGTATTTCTCTGTAACAGGGTTACTCAAAGTGTGCTCCGTGGAGCCCTGGGGCTCCGCAAAGCCTTTGTGAGGACTCCGCGAAGAAAATAATCATATTAAAAAAAAAAACAGTACTATCGCCACAAAATGGAGGGATCTGGCTTGAGGACCTTTTTTATTGAGAAATAATTTTTTTAAGTCACTAAGAGGAAGGAGGATATGATTTTGCTTTAGGACTTTTATTTTTATGGGCGAAATGGATTTGGGATAATTCTTGCAAGGAATATTTGGAATTAATCAAAAATAAATTAACAACAAATTATGTTCTTATGCATTTTCAGCCTGAGTTGCCGATTAAATTAATCGTAGATGCATCAAATGTGGGAATAAGGGCCATATGTCATGTTTTTTAAAAAAATATTGAGAAATCTATAGCTTCTGCATCGCGTACCTTATCAAAGTCAGAACAAAAATATTCCCAAATTGAAAGAGAGGGCCTTCCAATAATTTTTGGCTTAAATAAATTTAATGAATAGTCATATAGACATTTATTTATCCTAGTCACAGATTACTTACCTCTGGTAACTATTTTTAACCCAGCTAAAGGTATACCCCAATTTTCAGCCAACAGACTACGTAGATGGGCAGTAATATTGTCAAATTACAATTATAAAATTGAATAATATGTAAAATCGGAGCATAATATGAAGCCGATTTTTTATCACGTTTACCTTGAAAGTCAAAATGAGAGTCAAATTGAAGAAAAAAATTTGAAAAATATTTTTTAAATTATGTGTTTAATTTGTTGAGGGCCCCGTCAAATATTTCGCTTTTCAGAAAGGTTCCGTCCCCAAAAAAGTTTGAGAAACACTGCTCTATAATAATATGGGATCTATCCATTTAATTATATTTTATTTTCTCTAATTTTGACATATAAAGTAATATATTTTATAAAGTAGAACATTATGCAACTGATTACGAAAACTTGATTATGTCACCAGTTACGAAATGAAAATAAATAAAACTGCCTCTTTTTTGGTTTGTAAGTCGAAAAATCGAGAAATCGAGTAATCGAAAAATAAAAAATCTAAAAATCCAAAAAAACAAAAATCGAAAAAAACAAATATCGAAAAAAAGGCCGAATACCGTTATTGAAAACTGCCCAGAAATGTTGGGGGTAAAATTTTGATGTACTCCTTTAAGGATAATGTTTTTTTTTTCAAATTTCTCGCGGGTAATCTCAAAAATCAGATCGACAACACTGCACATGTTCCTTATTTTTATTATTATTGAAAAAAAAAAAAACGTCGTAGGGCAATCAAATATAACAATTTTCTGAAATATTGGATTGGAAGTACCTACAAAAGAATGCTGATGAATTATTTTTTAACACAATTTTATAAATAATCAAGACAAAATTAGAAAAAATCTTGTATGTAAACACGTTACCAAATGCCGTTTTCTGCAACTCGTTCATTTTGAAGGACCTCGCTCCGCTCGTCCCGAAAATATTTACTCGATACACAAAATAAGGCATTTCGTAACCGGTTACACAAATAGCTATTAACTGACTTCCTAATATTTTAAATCATTGAACGGTATTTTCTGTAAATAATTAAATCATAAATAATTACCGGTATATAAGTACCAAAACATTTTTTTTTTCTTTGAAGAATAGGCTTATGTCAAATAAACTTAAAATATAACGAACGAAAAGGTAACCCATTTCTAATAAAATTTAATTATTAATTTTATTTTGGTGTGATCGTAGAAAAAATCTTGTGTGTAATTCGGCAAAAAGTACTTTGGCTGTTTCGATAACTTTTTGTCTCAACAGGTATTTTGTTACAATAATTTTATAAACTTCTACTTAGGGTCGATTTCACGGTTTTGTTAAACGAAGTTTAAAATACTAAACGAAGATTAAAATGACATTTTTATATTAACAAAAATAAAGTTTAAATTACTAAATGGAGTTTAAAATGACATTTTTACATTAACAATGTCATTTTAATCTTCACTTAGTAATTTAAACTTCGTTTGACACAACGGTGGAATCGCCCCTTAGCTAGTTATATATTGATAAAGTGTTATTACCCTCATCATAAATGAATCGTGCTGACAAATAAAGTCAAAAAAACGTGTTATAATTTTTCATCTTTTAGTTACCTACCAAAATTAGGTACTACAATACAAATATTTAAGTCCGGCCCAGAACATCTCCCTACTCCTTCCACCCAGTTTTTCGGTTTTGGCAAAATTCGCGCAGTGACAAATGCTTCCTATGTTACCTCTACCCTTTCTAACCTCTTTGCATAGCATCCAAAATGTATTTAAAAAAAGTTTGTATTTGTATTATCTATCTATTGGCGTAATAAAATTAAAGAAAAAAACAGAATTTTTTCCAGCTCCAAAATATTGAAATATCAACCCCTCTCTAAAATCCTTATTTCATGTATAGCATTCAAAATGGAATTAGAAAATGTTGATTGTATTAGTATTATCTACCGATTGGCGTGATAAAATAAAAGAAAAAGAGAATTTTTCCAGCTCTAAAAATATTTAAATTCCTTAATATATTTCTATAAAGGATAAAGAAAATAATTAAAATGTTACTGAAGGTGTCGTAAACTTTAAATTAAACGAATAATTATTGTTGTAAAAGAATATTTTTGGAGCTGGCTGGCTAGGAGCTGTCATGACACAGGTAATCTCATTTTATTATTTTTAAAATATTATGGACTTTGATTTTTAATTGAATGATTTACCGCAACGTAGAGAAGGCTTTCATCAACTGGATGATTTTATTTCAAAACTTAAAACTGGCGAAGTAAATAATATACAGTGAGCACCATAAGTCTTACCCCCCCTATCTAACTCATTACTGGAGTCTTCTTAGGAAAATTGCCGAGACAGGTCGATTTTTGATTTCTACAATGTATATTTTTGTATGATTAGTTTACCCTTAATTTCATCCCTTACTGAAGGGGAGCAACCCTTTTGAAAAATTTAAATGACATGGGGTGGTGAGTGATAGCTCATTTGAAAGGGGGTTTTATTATCTATTCAACCGTGCAAAAAAATTTGAAATTTGCTTCATTACGTGTTGATTTATTAATGTTTAAAAATAACAAAACCTCACAAAATAGGAAAGCAACTAAACTAACAGTGACCTTCTAATGACAAAGTCTTACTTCACGTCTGAACCAAAACCGAAATCATGCAAGGCCGAAATTTAATTCTAAGGATGAGTGCGCTACGTTAATTTCCGTTATTCTGAAACAACAATTAGTCGAGAATTAATGAAGCAAATTTCAAAATTTTTTACACAGTTGAATAGAGAATAAAACTCTCTTTCAAATGAGCTATTACTCACCACCCCATGCCATTTAAATTTTTCGAAAAGGTTGCTCCCCTCCAGTAAGGGATGAAATTAAGGGTAAACTATTCATACATTGTAGAAAACAAAAATCGACGTGTCTCGGCGATTTTCCTAACAAGACTCCAGTAATGAGTTTGATAGGGGGGGGGTAAGACTTATGGTGCTCACTGTATAATTAATATGTATAATTATCATAAATTTACAATATTACTTTCTTATACTTGTTTAACACTAGTTACTACTTATAATAACTTAAAATTGTTTCTTCGCAAAATTTTAATCAGATTTTTGTAAAAATTTATATCTGATTCATATTCATTATCTCATTTAATGTCTTTAATATTCAACACGTCTCGCACTGAATTTGTATATAATACGGTTAAACCTTAAAACACCAAATGAATAATTCAGTTGAATTTTAAAAAATGGCTTCAACAGGAAATTAAACTTGATAAGAATATTTCCTGTTTTCATTTCTGCACTATTATAGGTACTTAAAATAAGAATTTCTCTAGAATAAAACATTATTTTATTAGTTGAATATTGTAAAAGTTTTTTTTATTTTGATGTTCTACAAGAATCTTATTTTGATGTCCCTTCTTGTAAACTACCCTGGCAAACTTCATTCTTATTAAATGTACCTACTAATAGTTGAAAATAAAATTGACAAAAGTATTAAATACTCGTAGTTATCAAATAATTTTTTGATAATAAAGATAAATATGAATACCTAGTTTTTTCAAGCTTTTTGTCGCATGGGTATACAAATATATAAAGCCTTATTTTGAGAAAATATTCTTTTTGACAAGGCAACTTTACATCGAACAGTCAATAAGCAGAATAATTGTTGATATAGAGTCGACAAAATCGCAACATTGGATGGTTGAAGGCCACAAATCAGCACTCAGTATAGCGTATAGCAAAATCAACGTTTGGGCTGAAATAAATAATCGAATTGCTGGGCCTTATTTCTTTGACGACAAATTTTTAATATCAAAGTCAAAAAAAATACTTTTCCTGATGATTTTATAACCTGAACCAAAATAATATAAATATGGTACAATCTACACCACCTTATGCAGCAGCAATAACAGCATATCCGAATCAAGTTTTTCCAAATAGATGGAATGGTCGAAGCAGTAAAATAGAATGGCCTACCCGTTCTTCCTACATGACCCCACTGAACTATTTCTTATGGAGTTATCACCAACAGCGATGTTCACGAATAATTTTATTAAACTGCCCAAAAACTAAATCATATAATTACTTACCCAGACATATTTCCCTCTGTAGGAGAGTTCATTCCAGATCCTGTGTAACTTATGTGACTGGTGAGTTGTGTTAACTGAGATCCTTCTATTGCGGACTGATGCTCATCTCCGGAATGTATTGCAGACAGACTGTATACTCGGGATGGTGAACCAGGACTCGGACTACCGCTTCCTTGTGACGGAGAACCATTCGCAATTGCAGTCGGTCCCAGCTGGAGATACTCCGTGCCATTGGCTTCTTCTAATGGCACCTAGATGAACAATATTGGTAATTATTTTAAATAGAATTAATTGCATTGCTTAATTTCTATTTAAGTCACTGTTTTTTTATCTTTATTGCCTCCTTAGCACGCAGAGTTAAATCCTATTGAACATTTAAATTACTTGCTGTCTGAAATTTGTTTTTGAAGGCAATTTCAGATGTAAATAGAAAACATTGAAAAAATGCATTGATCATAGAAAGTCGCTGAAATTATAATGATACCCAAACCAGGAAAACCACCAAGTCAAGTCCTTTAGACTTATATCCCTGTTACCAGCTTTATCTAAACCTTTCGAAAAACTTTTACTAAAAAGATTGACACCATTGATTGATAGTAGAAATATAATACCTGACCACCAATTTGGATTTAGGAACAAGCATTCCACTATTGACCAAGTTCACAGAATAACGAATAAAATAGAGAAAACATTGGAAAAGAAGAAGATCTGCATCTCACTCTTTCTAGGTGTAGCTCAGGCTTTCGATAAAGTTTGGTTAGAGGGCCTTGAATATAAATTAAATAAACTTTTACCTAGGCAATATTGTGACAACCTAAAATATTACTTGACTGATAGAATCTTCCGAGCAAACAAGAAGAATATTCCAAGCTTAAAGAAACTAAAGCAGGGGTACCTCAAGGAAGTGTTCTGGGGCCAGTTATTTACCAGTTGTTTACCTCTGACATACCACAAAGTGAAAGTAGTCACATTTGCCGACGACACGGCCATACTTGCCATCGGTAAAATCATAGAAGAGTCGACATGCAACTAATATAATCTATGAGTGGACAAAAAAAAGAGTCAACATGCAACTAATATAATCTATGAGTGGACAAAAAGCTTAACGAAACTAAAACAGTCCATGTTCAGGATAAGTCATATAGGCCGCGGCCTAGGGGCATCAACGTCCTAGAGACGGCAGATTTCAGAGGGCGCTCACTCGATTTCAGAGGATAAAAGTTAAAGTTCACTGGTTTTCTCATGTTTTTTTTGTACTAATACGTTAAATCCCTATCGAAAATTATCAATCTTAGGTACCTACTGTTATTGTACCTATTTAATCTATATTACGACGATTTGGTTCAAGAATGCGTCTTCTAATAAAACTGCACGGTGGATCACACTCACTACTGTTTCTCAACGTTTTTAAGGAATCAATCTCTTGTCTAATGTTTGCCCTAACTTGGAGAAAGGAGTTTTTCCTGTTTAAAACGCGTGAAAAATTATCAAAGGTCTTCATTGTCTCAAGAAAAAATAAGGGGACTGGCAAATTCTTGAGCAGTTCGGCGAAGGAGAAGTTTTTGCTTAACACCTTTTTTTTTAGAGAGATTCAGTGAAGAGGAGGAGGAGAAGGTTTTGTTGCAAGACCTCCTTTTTTAGAAATATGATATTAAAAAGGGCCTAATTTTTAACAAAATTGTCGCGGGGCCCGACCTGGATAATTGTTCCGGGACCCGACTTGGCTCTCGGCGGCTCTGATAATGAACATCATAAACATTGTTGCCAGAATATATTTTTGTTACGTACCAGATTTGTCTAAAAAATGTACCAGAGTGTATAAAAATGTACTAGATTCTGTAAAATGTACCAGATTTTTGAATTAATTGTGATGTGTTTGACTTATTAAGAATAAAAAGGGGTTTTAACGAAAGAAAACAAAACAAGGAGCAAGATCTCAACAATATATTTTACATGCGTCAAATGGTAACACGCTAAAAAAGGTACTAGATTTTGTTTAGGGTGTACCAGAATCTTAGAAAGTGTACTAGATCTAGTACAATTGTACTAGACTGGCAACACTGATCATAAACTATGATGATATTATAGATGATTTTGCTATTAAAATTTCCCTTTAGTATCTTCCTTACTACAAATGGAAAATTATTATTTTAGAAAAGTACATGGGGCGGTGGAAATAAAGTGGCCTACACTCATAAAAAATATAAATCCGGCACTGTTTAAGCCTCTTAAGTTTATACTAAAGACAAATTGCTGCTTGGTTGGAATATAGCTAAGTGCAAAGCAAACTAACAAAAAAGAGTGAAAAGTGGATATAGCAATGGAAAACTTAATATAACCTATAATAATAAACTTCAGAAAAGAAAATGGTAATGATGCCAGTAGTTATAGTGAAGACAGAGACTTTTAAAGATAGCACATGAACTTTAATTTTTTTTTATCTTCGATTTTAAGTATTGAAGTGTTACTTTTATTGCCAATAGATTTAAAAAAGTTTGATCCCGTTAACAACACATGATCCTCCTTATAGTAGACTTGTAGACTATATTTTATACGTGTATCTGACTATTCTGACTATTCTGACTCTTCTGACTATTCTGACTATTCTGACTATTCTGACTATTCTAACTATTCTGACTATTCTGACCATTCTGACTATTCTGACTATTCTGACTATTCTGACTATTCTGACTATTCTGACTATTCTGACTATTCTAACTATTCTAACTATTCTGACTATTCTGAATATTCTGACTATTCTGACTATTCTGACTATTCTGACTATTCTGACTATTCTGACTATTCTGACTATTCTGACTATTCTGACTATTCTGACTATTCTGACTATTCTGACTATTCTGACTATTCTGACTATTCTGACTATTCTGACTATTCTGACTATTCTGACTATTCTGAGTTAAATGTAGTAAAACATTAAAATAAACAAAGTTTAATGTACTAACTAATCCACAAATACAAATTTATAAAATCTAATAAAATTTATATTTTATTTATTTCCCAAATTCAAAATTTTACATTTGTTAGACTTTGACGTTATTGACAGAATGTGTCTGATAACAGAAGAAAAAATGTGTTCCAACATATCCAAGTTCCGAGTTCAGTCCCAGTCCTCGACTATCAGCCATAGAGAATAATTTGTGGATTGGTTTATGAATGGTTTCAAGCAGTAGCGGCTTGTGACCAAAATATTGGGGGTTTCCAATGACAGAATATAGGTCTCAGTGTTTTAGAAAGGTATATTATACGACATAATAAACACTGAACATTTTTTACTTACAACTGCACTGAAATTTATATTCTGTCATTGCGAATCCCCTATATTTTGGTCACCAGCCGCTACTGACTAAATCATAATATTTTAACGTAAAAAATTAATTTGCTCTATCCCCTATAACCACCTGCATACCTAAGTATACCTAACTATATCTAACTTATTTTCGGGAATTAAGCAGAGGGTACCTAATTAAATTTATATCCATCATGCACGAAGTCGTTCTTTTTAAATTTAATTTGAATAACAACAATAATAATACTAATAATGCTATCATTCGTTCTAGAAAATAAAAGTTAAATAAATCTTGCCAGTGGCGTACATCTTGAGTAAGTAACATCTTCATCAATTTTAAATTTTACGCCACTGTCCAAAACCTAATTTAGACTACAATGTTTAATTTTGTGATGTTATTTAAATAAACCATGTACCTACCTACTCTTATTGGAAAATTGTAAAAAATTTAAAATTAAATTAATATAAAGAGTATTCACCTTTGTGTGCGAATAACAAAAGTACATGATTTATTTATAAAAAAAAATATAATACAAAAAATTAAAATTATAGTCCAAATAATAAGTTTTTGGACAGTGGCGTAAAATTTCCGTACGCCACTGGTTTATTTAACTGATTTTGTTGCTGATAGGTATAGGTATTTTATGACACCAAAAATGTTTACTAAATTTAGTAAAATTAAACTGAGAAATAAAAAAAATTATTAACCAATAATCATTTTTGTACAACACCCAGTTTTTTGGAAACGAGTAATATTTTTGTTCCGTTTAATAAGAGAATCTTCAGTTGTTCTGTGTCCCATTCTTATTGAGACACCCTGTATGTAAAATAAATAACAAAAATCAAGGATCGTTCTTTTATTTTTAATTAGTAGGTAACTATTTGTGACTGAAAGGGGGAGCTCCTCATGTATTTTGCGTTAAGGCTAAAATGTTTTAGTTACGCCACTGATCTCTAGAGAAAACACTTTTTACTACTGACTATTAATTAACAATATACGAAATTGTTATAATGACAGAATTTATTGATGACGTCAAAAGGGTAGAGGGGTAACTTTTGAAAATTTTCAAATTTTTAAAAAAATAAGTCCTACCTAAGCCAAGTTTTAAAAAATAGCAACTTGTGTCCAACAATTATTAGGAATAATATTAAATGAGATCGATTTCTTATCTATTAAACTAAAGAAAACAAACATGTATCGTGGTACGATTTTGAGGTTAGGTTCACAAATTTGTACCATGTACCATGTAATAGAGGCAATTGTAACTAGGCATTTAAAAGAATGTGTAAGCTCGATATCTAGACATGGGCGTACAAAAGGGGGGGGGGGGGGAGGAGGTAACTGCCCCCTCCTCTAGCTTTTATTTTGTTAATTCACTATTGTTATATTATTATTTTTAGTTGTTGACAAAAAGAAACTTTTTTTGATTGCCTTTCCCCTGATTTTATTAACGCCCTGTCTTTTTTCATTCGGACGCCCATGTATCTAGAAAATATTTATTCTTAAAAGTTATAGGTTATTTACTGTTTTTTCATTTGAAATCTTTTTTTACTACTACACCACTCACCCAGACCTAAAATAAATTTACGCACCAGTACCCCCTGGTAAAAATTCTGACGGCGCCAATGATCGTGATTTTTGTTAATTATTATCTACTGACGACTTTTTTGTTATTTTTAACGCCATTACCTAAGTAGGTAAGTAAGTACCTACTATTTTTTATGAACATTATACGCCCATAGCGGTAATTACTTCAAGGTACTTAGTAGGTACCTACAATTTAATATAAAATACCTATATTTTCATCGTGACATAACCTTCTTTTTACATTATGTATCAGAAATATAATAAAGTACCTAATTAGGTATTTTAGGTACCACCTGTATGTTAAACATTTATTCTACTTCTAATCCCAAAGCGCTCACTTAATATGTTAAAAAATACCTATAAGTACATAGTTATAGATAGTACCTATAGGTATAACATTCTAAATTAACAACAATTAGCAGTTTACAAGTTCTAACATAACAATAAAAAAATTTTGGCGGGAATCGACGCACATACTAAAAGTACTTATAATCTTAACAACTAATTAATGTAATTGATATCTTCTTACCTCTAAGGTAAATGGCAAGTACCTCGCATCTGATCTGACTAGTGTCGGGTAATTATCTTGGTCAACCTCGCTGGCATAAGTGAGACAATCGAGAGGAGTGGCCGCTCGAGAATGGGGGGATGGCTCCGCCCCTTCATTTTGCGAGGCGGGACTATACTGTTGCCTGGGCTCTTCTCCATATGCACCTACAAAACATACGTGTATTGTGAGTGGCCTAAATTTCAGACGCTAAAATACTGTTAAAATAAAATAGATATTGAGCGACGAGACAGGGACGGACTGAGTAAAGAGTTTCAGGGGTCGATAAAAAAAAGTATTTAATTATAATAAAATTTAATAACCTCACAAATATTTATGCAGGGTAGGGAGAAACCTAAGAATTAAAAAATATATAAGGTTTCGGTAATGTTGTAGTTGACGGGTCTAGAAATGCGCATATTCACACCACTCTGAACTGACGTCTAGAATTTGAATTTGCTCAAGCCACGTTGCCAAATCTCCACTTTCATTTTAGCTTGCTTTATTTCATAGTTTATTATTTAGACAAATTGTAACCTCTGTAAGTTAAAATGTATGATAAATAAATATAAAGATTTATATTATATTTTGAAATAAAAATTCTGTTTTGTTTTATAAGAGAGTTTTAATAGATTTTAAATTTAAATTTTGTAATTATCACTATTGAAAAGTATTATTGACATTAAAAATAACGAAACTTGAAAATCTTTAGAATTTTTTTATTTTTATGGAATTTTTAATCGATGTAAAAATTGGTAAATAGATAATTAAAAGTAAAATAGTTATTTTAATCTGCTTATTCCCTGGTTCCAAATAATTAAATATAACCTGGCAACTATGTAACGATTCCAACTGACAGAACTAGCCGGAACAGCAATGGTGCGGACTGGCGCATTTCCAAACCCTTCAACTACAACATTACCAAGGTTTCATAGGGTTTTTAAGGTTTTTTGTTCATATATGTCAAAAGTTATAATTCATAAAGTTAAACAAAAAATACAAGCAAAACTTGAAAAATAGAACTTTATTAGGTTTAACAAAAATAAATAAATAAAAAGTGAAAAATAAATACCTAAATTGTATTTTTTTTAAATTGTCACTATCGTTAATTTATAATGTTTGCTTATGTGTTTATATACACTTATTTTTCCACCATTTTTTCACAAGAATTAATTAGTAAAATTGTGAATTCCTAATATTTATCTAAAAAAAAAATCCTAAAAAACTTAAATTTGCCTAATTTTCACTTTTAGGATTTTTAAAAAAAAAAACTAAAAATTCTAGTTGAAAAAAACTTGTATCCGCCAACTCTGTATTTATGTGACGTGTGACAGTTATTAACTTATTTTTTAAAATATTAACATTTTTAATAAGTATTTTGCCGGACCATTCGTTTTTACGTGTTAATTAAGTACGCTGTATTAGTGATGACGTAATTTATAAATACAATGACAATGGCAGTAACAGTAGGTAGAAGATATAGATACAGATATGTATTCATTATCATTTTTTTTTTATTTTTAAGATTGTAATCATTTAAACACTAAAAAAATGATATAGTTATATACTTTTTAATTAATTTTCATTATAATTAATCCTAAAAGAGTTTAATTTTGTTTACGAAAGTCGGACAACTTTTGTAAATCTCTATAATGGCAGAGTGGTAATATCGAGATCAGTGGCGGCTCGTCGCCAAAAAGTTTTGGGTTCACAATGAGAGAATATAGGTCTCAGTACAGATTTAGGTAAAAAGCTTTCAGTGTTTTGAAAAGATGTTTTACCTATAAAGACTAAAAGTTTTTTATTTAAATCTTTACTGAGATCTACAGGGTGTCCCAAAATTAGAAGGTCATATTTTAACAGCGTAATCTACATCCTAAAATAGGAGTAAGAGTTTATATAAACATAAGCCCGAAAACGTTTCGTTCTCGAGATACAGGGTGTTACAAGTGAAATCCTGATGGCATATTTTTGTAAATATTTTCTAAAATTTCTTTAGTCACCGGTTTTCTAAAGTTAAAAAAAAAATAAAATTTCTGATTCTACAGGCCTACTACTTATTGTTCACACTTTCGAATAAGATAACATCAACTTATCATGAAATTTTCTAATGCTTTTCTCTTGAAAATGGTGCGTCCTAGCGAGATGCAACAGAAGTAGCTTGATTATAAAAAAACATTGGTTTTCCAAATTTTATAGTCAAAAATGTTAAAAACTGTCAACAAAATTAACTTAGGGCAATTTTACCCTAAGTCCCCCCTAATTTACCCACCTATTAAGATGATCAAAAACTGGGGGTTAGTCCATTAAATAGAGCGTAAAAAGGTAAGCATTTGTACCACTTAGTTATCTTTAAACGTTTAGAAAATATTTACAAAAGTGTGTCATCATGACTTCACTTTTAACACCCTGTATCTCGGAAAAGGAACGTTTTTGGACCTATGTTTATATGAACTTTTACTCCTATTTTAAGATGTAGATTACGCTGTTAAAATATGACCGTCTAATTTCGGGACACCCTGTATATTCTGTCATTATAACCCCCCAATTTTTTGCTTTCGAGCCGCCACTGATCTAGATTAAAACTAATTTATAGAATATTTTAAATCTTACAAGACTTAAAATCACTTTTAGTACAATTAGGTACTTTAGCAGACGTCTGTTTAAAATTCATTTTAAAACAAAATTGCTTTAGATTTAAAAAAAATAAAGTGGTCTTGCGCACGAATGAAATCTTAACCTCACAAATTTTGCCATTTTTGTGATTTTCATCTTTATATGCCTATTTTAATAAAAAAAAACAATTAATAGGTATATGTTCCATTTTTTATTCACTTAGTAGGTAATGGGAGCGTTGAGCACACTTTTCAAACTGCGCATGCGCAGCTAATCTGTTGACAGATGTCAAAAATCGATTAGTTTTTTGTTTTCGACCCACACATGAATATTTTTATTATGTAAGTATAAAACTGTGTGAATAATTTCAGTAAATAATAAATAGATTTAATGACAGATGACATATTTTTTAATGTTCGTGTAGACGAAAAAAAGAAGAAAAATGTATTTAAGATTCAAAATGCTTATCTAAATAAACAAACGCACGAGGATGACTATCTTTAATTGCTTTCTAATTAAGAAATAGTAAGTGCAAGAGACTTTTATGAATAGTTTTAATTAATAATAAAAAAAAAATTAATGGATTTAATGACAAATGTCATATTTTTGGAACAGAGGAAAAAATGTATAATAATGCAGAAATAAGCACAAATACCGAACCTAAATAATGAGTGTCATAATAATTGTATTAGGAAAAAAGTGGGTGAGTACAAAATATTTTTTTTGAATAGTTTCAGTAAATAATAAGTGGATTTAATGACAGATGTCATATTTTTTAGCATATAAACTGCACTGGGTCACTAAATTAGCTTACTGAGAAGATGGCGTTTTCTACGAATATGGAGGTGGTAGAAATATTTTTAATAAACTTAAAAATTCAAAAGGCCACTTCCTTTAACCAAATTGACTAAATAGCTTTAAAATAGTCTTAATTTACTCTTTTATAAATTATATTTTTGGATTTAATGTGAAATTTTTTGAGTATATAGGTTTAAAATAATTTTCTTAATGGGTTTTAACGAATAAGTACATCAAATGTACCTACTCCATAAAACTTGCTAGTTAATACTTTAAAATAGCAAATTAGTTTTAAAATGGCCAATGCCAAGAGTATTATAAAACCAGTATACGATCAATAGAACCTTAAGAGCCAATATGAAAGAGTGCATTAAATTTTTTGCATAAGAATAAGTGATATTTAAGAACTTTTAGTTTAAAGCACTAAATAAAATTAAAATGTCTTAAAATTGTTACCCAACAAACAATGAATTGCCGGGATATTGTTGGCCTTTTGCTGTAATTGAAGGAAAAATGGATGCAATGATTAAAAGATGAAAGTCTACTTTTGACCTTTCGATAGTGGCGCAGCATTACGTTGGTTGATGATGGCCATGAAGAGTAAGTAACTGTATTGGGTAAAAGCAAGGTAAAAGTAGAAGGATTTTAAATGCTGCAGACCCAACTCTAATAGTCCAGAAGGGATCCGTCCCGCGTTCATAGATGGATATACGGATGATCTCTTGCTACATGCTCAACGAGTGGTCAGTATCAGATTGCTGGTATGTATTCACTATTCAGTATTTATTATAATTTCCTACTTTTGCATGTTGTTTTTTGTAGAAGATATTTTCTTTATTATTATAAATAAAATGTCTTCTGTTTTAGTATAGAATTTACACTTCAAACGGTACTACTGGTTAAAGAGACACTATTGAACCGCCTGTCTGATTATGTGACTGGCACAAGGCCTTTATTCAGTAGTTGGTATTAATAAGGCAATAGGCATGCAATATCCCGTTATCAATAGGCCATTTATTGGTAATATATTTATTTCTAGACATTAAAGAGAAAATGTAGACCTATTAACTGGATTTGATGGTTGTGACTTCGGTCCGTATAGTGACCTATATACGCTAGCCTTTTAAAAATAAAAGTTAAACTGCCATCATTACAATCAGACGGTAAGAGTTATTGGCCTTCTATTCTCCTACAAAAAACGTTTGTTGGGTAGGTATATACTTGGGTACAAAATAGTGTTGATTTTTTTTTAGTTACAAGTAAGTACCTAGTTAAATACCTACAATAAGTTTTATTATAAGTTTTAAGAGTTTTTTATTCTAAATAAATCAATAGATGTACGTGAAAAGAACGCATTATAAATTTATCTAATAAAAAAGAACCTTTACTTTTTATATATTGGTCTTTTTAATTTGTAGATCTAATTAGGCATCCCAGTATGAACAAATTAAAATAGATTAATTATATCCAACTCATAATAAGTTTCTCTTTAAAAATGAAACTGACCTAGAAGACGAATTTGAAAATATTATTGTGAATGAACAACATGAAAATTATAGAAAGGAAATGCATAACAACCAACGATAGCTTATCGCATTTGCATTTTACGTCCATTAGTTATGAAGGTACAGGGTTATTCATTAAAAATTACCCACCCTTTATCATTGCATATAAAAAAATATTTGAAATGAAAGAACGTGGTAGTGACTGAATTTTGTTACCATCAAAAACACAACGGCATGGAGATTTCACG